TTTTTTTTTACCGTCTACAACAGCTCTCTGAGTTGTTGTCTGCAGCAGTAGCAGTAGCTCAGGGAGCTGCTGTTTGGTCATTTTTATCGTGTCGTCGACTTTTATTTTGGCGTAATATCACATATTGTCTTCATAATGGTGATTTCATAGGAAACATAATTACTATCAAAGAGATTAGGTGCACACAATAATAAAAAGGGGAGTGTTTTCCAGTATTAAATCATGCTGGAAAATTGACATTACCATATATGAACACACTATATCCTCGTCTAGTAGTCAGAAATCAATATTTACTAATTCTCATAACCACGCCCTCTTTTCTTTTGCATTTGACCTGCATACACTAAAGTTAATAACCATATAAAATAGATAAATGAATATTAAAACCCGAGTTTTGGTCGATATGTCGACAATTTAGCAAATTTCTCATTCGAGGCATTCGAAACGAGAAATGGGGTATGAGTGTATATTATTGGACTTGAATTCGTAGTGTACGTTCATGTGCACAAACATAAAATAGAGGGGTTTTACCCTTTTTTCTAATTACTGCACAGCAGCAGCCCAAAGAGCAGCTGCTGCTGTTGCAGACAGCTCTCTGAGCTGCTGTCTGCAGCAGTAGCTCAAGCTTAGGGAGTTGTTGTTTGGTCATTTTTATCGTGTCGTCGACTTTTATTTTGGCGTAATATCACATATTGTCTTCATAATGGTGATTTCATAGGAAACATAATTAATATCAAAGAGATTAGGTGCACACAATAATAAAAAGGGGAGTGTTTGTCAGTATTAAATCATGCTGGAAAATTGACATTACCATATATGAACACACTATATCCTCGTCTAGTAATCAGAAATCAATATTTACTAATTCTCATAACCACGCCCTCTTTTCTTTTGCCTTTGACCTGCATACACTAAAGTTAATAACAGAGCAAAAGCCTTTCTGACAAGAATCCCAGTTACGCCCCAGCCAAAGATTTTACTGTGAATGTTGGCACGAGAATCCCCAGTTACGCCCCAGCTTTGCAAACATCATAATAAAACTCGAGGCTATCATGAAATTTCTCATAACCGCTGCTCCATCATATAATAATGAGCCATGTAGTATGAGATTGTTGCAAAATTTCCATATACTTGTTTCATTATGAAACATTGTTGTCATTCCCTCACTTGGTTTGATCAGAATTCATGGAATTTTCATGTTCTTCAGAAACCAATATGCTGCAATGATTAGTTTATCCTGTGTAGAACTGTACTTGTTTGTTATATATAATGGGTTGAATAGCACATTATTATTTTAAATCAGTTACGTACATGCTGATGTTTTACTTTTGCTGGAGAGCAGCTTGGAGCTACAAGAGAATCGCCTTGTTCTTTACGCTATAGTATTTCTCAATTGTGTAGTGACTGAATAGTAACTTTGTCCTGGAGACCAACAAAATATATAAATAAATAAATAAATAAAATAAAATAAAAGGAATGGAAAATTGTAGTACCTTGCATTTTCTCGCATCCGGAGGAAACGAACTTATCTTAAATGTAACGAACATATGTTGATAATGTGCATTCAAAGGAGGAACGTTGATAATGTGCATTTAAAGGATGGCTATATGGTAAAGTCTGATCATGTTCATTTGAGCCTACTCAGGGGTCTATGTGAAATTAACCATGACATAAACCTACTGAGAGAGTGCAGTTGTAGAACAAACGATTCAAGTTTTCACCTATGAAGATGAATTGAAGCACTAGTTGGAGATGTCATAGCAGTTTGAGTCTAATAATTCCATAATGACAATTTGATCTTTTACTACTGGTAGATAAAATCTGAAAGGATTTTAGCTTATATACAATTTAGAGGTCTAGACAGAGAACACAAAATTATCAGATACCCAAGTCGCAACACTTGGGATTTCTTCTAGAAACGCTTTTCATACCCAGCAAATTCTTGCTTAAATATATAATAATAGAATATCCATTCAGGCAACACAACTTACCTTTTTTTGGGAAATAGGGTGTAAAATATTAATACGAAGCATTTCATAGATAACAATTTGATGAAACATTCTCCACAGAACAGATCAGAATTCAAGCACGAGATATCCAAGGCATAGTGACCGAGAAAGGAAAAGATTCACAAGTTTAAGATTGATCAAATAAAACTAGAATATGAAATAACAACATATGAAGAACTAAAGAGCTGATCAAAAAATTTAAGAAAACACGTACCATTATCATCATGAGTGCCATCAAATTCCCCTGTACTCTCTTCTATATTGTGTTCTTCGTTGGAAGCAGAATACTCAACTCTACTCATCTAAATAGTTAAAAATCCCAAACACAAAGTATGGCATCAATTATCAAATCTAACTTCACAAGTTTTTCAGTAATTTATTAACTAAACACTTTCAAAAAAAAATGCATGAGCAGTAAATCCAATGAATAACAAATGAAACAAGTGCAATTTCAAAAGAATAAATTCTACTAATAATACAATCACAAAATCTACTAATTCACTTCTTCTTCGTTGTCCTCACTTTCATCATCTTTGATTTCCTCATCATCATCCTCAAGCTCTTCCTCATTACCTACAGAATCATTAGCAACTGGTAGTGGTAACTGCTTGTTAACAAAGGTTCCACGAATATCAGTTCTAACTTGTAATTCTTCATCGTCTAGTGCCCGATCATCAAGATTTGGTATGGCATAATAATCATCTGAATTTAATGGGTTGGACATCCATCATCACTCTCCATGACATCAAAGAAATCCCTCGGGCTTAATTTAACAGCAACATTCCAATCCATGTCTTTCGGATCACAAACATAAAACACTTGTACATCTTGTGAAGCTATTATAAATGTATCGTTGTTGTGTGCCAAGTGTTTAAAATTCACTAAGGTAAAACCATAATTATCAAGCTTCTTCCCAGAGTTGCTGACCCAATCACAATCAAATAAGACCACTTTACATCCATGACCTTCAGGCTCTCCAGGAAGACCATAATCACATTCGTAAATATTCTTTAAAACTCCACAGTAGTCAACATTACCGGTAATCGGATTGTTGTCCCTCACACTAGAATAACTTGAGGTTTGTGCAGAAACAAAGACTCCACAATTTCTATTTTTATGATTGTCATCAACCGATTTAATTCGCAATCTGCAACCATTAACAATGCAGGTTTTATACTGTTTCACAGTCATATTAGGACCATTAGCAAGTCGACGTAAATCTTCCGTTACGGAAGAATCGCCTTTTGCATGCAAATCATTCACCTGAGGCAATAATTAACAAAGTGAATTATATATTATAAAAAATGTGGTACAAAAAACGATAATTGTATAACTACGAAGCCATTAACTTACATGGTTCTGGAACCAAGTAGGAAATTCCTTATTTCTCAAATTCTCTACTTCTCGAACAGTTTTTTGTCGGTGGATTTTGCGTAACTCCGCCATCCTTTTTCTATTAAAGTTAACCATAACAGAAAAGTACGAACTTAAAATTCACTTAATGGACTAGACATACCAAAAAAAGGGGCTAAACATCTAATAAAATATCTCACTCTAGAAATGGAGAGACTTCACTGCAATTGAACAAAATATATTTGCGACATTGCTCCCATATGCTTCTTTCAAGATCTACTTGACTTCACTGCAATTGAACAAAATATATTTGCGACATTGCTCCCATATGCTTCTTTCAAGATCTACTTGTGTGGCTTTACCCACACAACGACCTGAGTATGCAAAGATTGACAAGCCTTCACGAGGGGTAGAAACATCGTTGCAAAGATTGACAAGCCTTCACGAGGGGTAGAAATATCGGCATTACGACCATGACGAGTCTCAATGTCTGATAAGTACATGGAGCAAAATGCCAAAGCCTCGTCTGCAAGATATCCTATGCAAATGCTTCCTTCCGGATAATTTTTATTTCGAACATATCGTTTCAATGTTTGTAAATACCTTTCGAGAGGAAAAAAAACATTAACTGAGTTATAGAAGGCAAGTAAAATTTAGAAGCAAAAAGTTTAATAATTTTTTTGTGTTTTACCTTTCAATGGGATACATCCATCGATATTGGACTGGTCCAGCAATAGCAGCCTCGTGGGCGAGATGAACTAGTAAGTGAACTGTTATATCAAAGAATGAAGGAGGGAGCATTTTCTCCGAATAACATACAGTCAATGCAATCCTATATTCCAAATGCTTGAATGATGCTTCAGATTCTTTCTTACTACACAACCGTCTAAAGATTGCACTTAACTCAAGCAAAACAAGAGTAAGAGGTCTAGGCAAAACCCTTCGTATCGCAAGCGGGAGTAATTGGTGCATTATAACATGATGATCATGACTCTTCAAACCATGTATTTTTCTATCCTTCACATCAACAGACCTCGCAACATTTGATGAGTATCCATCAGGAACTCGCACCTTCGATAACACACGACAAAATAGCGTCTTTTCTTTATTAGTCATAGAGAATATTGCAGGTGGTAAGTATGTCCTAGCTCCCACACGAATTGGATGGAGACCTTTCCTTATATTGAGAAGTTCTAGGTCAGCACGAGCTTCAAGTCCATCCTTTGTCCTTTTAGAAGTGCCCAACAATGTATACAAAATTTTTTCTGATACGTTCTTCTCAATATGCATAACATCTAGATTATGATGTATCAAAAGATGCTCCCAATATGGTAAAGAAAAAAAATACTTTTCTTTTTCCATGGATTATTAGTACCATTTCTTTGTTCTTTGGAGGCAGCAGAAGTATTTCTTTTCCTTTTCTTTTTTCGTGTAATATCATCAGTTTCAGATTCTGAAGGTGGTGTTTTCCCAAAGGTAAATGTCAGATTAGACATTTGTGCTATACACTGGGCCCCGGTCAACATCTTTGGTGCTTGACCCCTCTCGCATTTGCCATCAAATGAAGCTCCATCATTTCGAAATCTATGCGTTATGGGCAAAAATCTACGATTACCCAAATAACATTGCTTTTTACAATTAGGCACTTGGTTCTTTGGAGGCAGCTGAAGTATTTCTTTTTCTTTTCTTTTTTCGTGTAATATCATCAGTTTCAGATTCTGAAGGTGGTGATTTCCCAAAGGTAAAGGTCAGATTAGACATCTGTGCTATACACTGGGCCCCGGTCAACATCTTTGGTGCTTGACCCCTCTCGCATTTGCCATCAAATGATGCTCCATCATTTCGAAATCTATGCGCTATGGGCAAAAATCTGCGATTACCTAAATAACATTGCTTTTTACAATTAGGCAGGCGTTTTGATACTGTTTGATGATGACATTGAGGACATGCAAGCTTCCCCTTCGTACTCCATCCCGAAAGATTCGCATATGCAGGAAAGTCATTTATTGTCCACAACACAGCAGCTTTCATGTTGAATGACTGATTGGAAAACACATCATAAGTGTTGGCACCAACCTCCCATAACTCCTTTAGCTCATCCATTAAAGGTTTCAAGTACAAATCAATATCATTTCCAGGTGCATTAGGGCCTGGAATAAGTAAAGAAAGAAACAAGAAGGGTTGCTTCATGCACATCCATGGAGGCAGATTATAAACAGAAATTACGACGGGCCAAGTGCTATGATCACTACTCATATGTGCAAAAGGATTGAACCCGTCGCTTGCCAAACCCAATCTTACATTTCGAATTTCAAATGCAAAATTCGGATACAACAAATCTAAATGCTTCCAAGCTGGAGAATCTGACGGGTGTCTCATAAATCCATCTTTAGGGCATTCGGTCGCATGCCATCTCATATATTCTGCAGTATGCTTTGACATATACAACCTTTTCAACCTCGGTGTTAGTGGAAAATAACGGAGAATCTTAGCTGATACTTTCTTAATAGAATTATCCCCAGTTGAACTATCACCAACTCTTGTTACTTTTTTCACTTTATATCTTGACGCACCACATGTAGAGCACACGGTTAAGTTTGTTGTCTCTTTCCAAAACAACATGCAGTCGTTAGGGCAAGCATCAATCTTCTCATAAGTAAGGCCCAAATCATCAATAATCTTTTTAGCTTGTGAAGTAGACCGTGGCAAACAATTTCCCTCAGGAAACATATCTTTAAAAAGCTCTAAAAACATATCAAAAGCCTTGTTAGTCACATTTCCCAAACACTTGATATGGTACAATTTTACGACGGCATCCAATTTTTTATACTTCTTGCATCCTGGATACATATCCTTATCATCTTGTTCAAGTAACTTAAAAAATCGCTCTGCTTCGGGTGTTCGACCATCAAAAATAGGCTGCCTCGATG